CTCCCGGGTCCACGCCGACGACGGCCCGCCGGGGTAGTACACTGCGAGGTTGGACAGCTCCATCGGCCCACGGAAGACCAGCGTCAGCTCTTCATCGAACGGCGCCAAGCTTGCCGACCTGCACGCGCCATGAAGCACAACCGTCAAGCACCAAGCAATGATCGGAATGAATGGTGTGATGGCTGCGCACCTGAAAGTGGCCTGTTGATGGCAAGCCGCGGCGCCCTGGGTACAGGTGGGCCACGTACCAGGCTCCATGTTGGTGACGTCGGGATAGCAGCCCTCGCCTCCGACGTCGGTGATGGTAAGCGTGGAGATGTCCACGGCGCCTCCGATGAGAGCCATACAAAGCAGAGCGAGAGCTGCGGGCAGAACGACTGATCTCTGCATGTGGCCAGCTGGTGTTGATGCTTGTGCTATGTGTGGATATTGGCGTTGAATGACGGGCGTGTGTATTGTCCTTGTGTTGTTGTCCTCTTGGCCCATTGGCGCAAGCTCTTTTCGCGCTGCCATTGGCGCAGAGCAGTATTAAGACGCGAAATACGCGGGCCACATAACAGCCGCCGACCATCGTGGTGGAGCTTCAACATGTTGTGATCTGGTGATGCGGTTGCAAGGGAGACGTTCCCGCTATCGGCGATGATGATGTCTCTTTGGCGTATGAAATAGTACTGTCGTAAATATTTCTCTTTTGCAGGAACACATTTCTTTTTGCTTTTCTCTGCACACAAAGATGCTGGGGCGAGGGAGGACAGAAGCGCGCGAGGCCGCCGAGCCACAGTTCATCCATTCGATTTATATTCTGAGCAAATCGGGTGGCCTGATTTACCAGAAGGTATGTGCCAGCCGGATCTCATTTTGTACTTTGCTTCTTTGAATGGCTTTAATCTTGCACCTCGCAGGACTTCACGAAGGCAGCTTCCAAACTCAACACAAATGACCATCTGCGATTGGGTGGTCTCTTTTACAGGTGCACATGATTACGCAGATTAAAAGGCCATTTAATTCATTTATTTTCATATTTATGGAATTCACAGCTTCAACTCGATTGCGAAGGACCTGTCGCCGGTGATGGACTGTCAAGGAATAGAAGTGCTGGAAACGGAGACGTTCAAACTACACTGCTTTCAGACGCTTACAGGTATGACATGCTCTCCACCACGTGTGACCGTACACACCGCACTGGCTTCTCTGATGGTGGTGGTGGTGCAGGGACAAAGTTCTTGATGGTGGCTGATCCCAAGCACTCACAGATGGCCAAGGTGTTGGAGCAGGTGCGAGCGATCTCATCCCTCTTTGGCTTGATGTTCATACCATCTTACTGTGGGCGTTTGTCGTTTTACGTGTGCGCGACCTTCGTGCAGGTGTACGAGCTCTATTCTGACTACGTGCTCAAGAACCCCTTCTACGAGTTCGAACAGCCCATTCGATGCGAGAAGTTCGACACGTTCATGAACGAGCTCATGCGGGCCAAGAACACGCCAGAGAAGAAGTGAGGACCCTAGACCAACACCTTCCCTCTACGCCAAATAAAGTCCGCTTTGTACGTACACTATCATGCGATGCTCTGCTGTGGCATGCTAGGTGGCCACAAGCACGATTGCGCTGTGGCCCTCGTCTTCACCAAGAGTGTCAAGCAGATGAAAGCCAGAGGAAAGTGGTTGGTGAGCGCTGTTGCATGACAATTAAGGCCTTGATTGCGCAACAACCTCTTCACGCCACCTCGCTTATTGGTTCTCAGGTGTTCATCATCTGCCCTCATTAACAACTGGACCCACCTACCCCAGTCACTCGTCCAGCTTCGCACTTGTTAAATTCCTGCTTTCCCTGACATTCCCCCTCGTTGCCCTCGCTTTTTTCACAAGCGGAGGAGGCTGCCTCATGCATCGGCCCATCACCATCTTCTGGACTTGGGGCCTTGCCTTTGGCACCGCTCCTTCCTCCTTATCTACCGTCCTCCCGAAGAACAGAGACACCAGCCACGCACCTGAGGTACCCTGTCCACAAAAAAAGAAAGAGCGGGAAGAGAAACGCAGGCAAACCCAAAAGGAAGAAGACACAGATGAGGGGCGAGAATGCTTTGCATTTACCGTTTGCTTTCGCACACAACACAGGTGCACACTACTGAGCCGTTCTCCACGAGTCAAAAAGGTAAGCGTGCACGCTCGTTCAGATTAGAAATTCCTACACTTACTGGCTGCTCGTAGCAGATTCTCGATGAAGCGCCGAATCGATGAAGCACCTGTGGCAAGCGATGACGAAGGCGGCAGCGGTCAGTCCAATAACCTCGTATGATGGTGCTGAAGAAGTGATGCATGTAGGACTGCAAGCGCACTGCTCTCAACAGTCAAGTCTGTCGTTGGTGGTGGGCACTCTGGTCTTCCTTCCCTCTTCTCTGAGGCGCCTGTCGCTGTCGCCCCAGCTCAAGCCCACCGACGACGCTCTGGCTAGCCTATGCGCGCGCAACCTGAGCTTCCTCGAAGAGCTCACCATCATGGACGCCTCGCTTATCACCGATCGAGGCCTGCAGCGTCTCTCTACCTCGGCCTCGCTGACGTCGTCCTTGCGAACTCTTCGTCTGTGCTGTGCCAGAGGCATAACGAATGAGGCAGCATCGCACATCGCTCGCTTCGCCAACCTCACGACGCTCAGTCTCGCGTGCTGCCCCCTCTCTGCTGCGGGCATCAGGGCCTTCGCCTCTCTGCGCTGTCTGAGGAAGCTCAACCTCGCATACAGCAAGGACGTCACCGATCGCGCTCTCAAGTCGCTTCCCCGCTCGCTTCGCTCGCTCAACCTCACGGCAACGAAGATCACCGATCGGGGGCTGCAGTACCTATCCATGGTGCCCTCTTCGACGGCGTGCCCTTCGCCTCCGCCTCTACTCTCGCCTTCGCTTTCCTTCTCGTCGGCGCTTCGCTTCTACCATCAGCTTTCCGCCACGGCCATCAACGGCAACACGGCCACCGCGCAGCAAGGAGACAGAGCGACGTCACGCCCCGCCAATCGTTCGGCCAACTTCTACTCCTCGCACATGATCCAGAGCACTACGCCACAACTGCCTCACCTCGTCAAGATCAAGCTCAACGAGTGCTTCATCACCGACGAGGGCATCAAGTTCTTGCTGCCCTACCTCCGCTCTCTCACCACTCTCAAGCTCTCGTCGACCTTCATCACCAGCGCGTCTGGTCAAGCTCTCAGCTCCTTCCGATCTCTGGTTACTCTCGAGGTCAACGGCTGCCACGGTGCGCTACTCTCCTATTCGTCCCGTTGTCGTTTCCGTCTCGCATCGACTCACCCTCTTCGAACGTAACACACGACAGAACAGTACTGGCCGACGTCGTCGAGGAGCACGCCGGCAGTCAACTGACGATACACTTACCCCTCCAATATCATACCCATCAAGTCGGGTGCGCTCTCCACAGACTGTAGATTGCGCACTTGAACACTGAGGTGTCGAACTTACCGCCGATACGAGTATCTCGTCGTTAGCTCTCTTCTTCTTCTTCTGTAATGGACGATCGGCTCCTTCCTCTCCACGCGTGTACATAAACCAACCACTTCCGGCCTCGCTCAGTGCCCTGTCGCTTGCTCGCACGAGCACAGAGAGGGTGCAGCCCCGCCTTCTTAAAGTACCTCCGGGGTGCTCGTGTGCAGAGTTAGGGCACGGCACAGCAACAATACAGGATGGACGACAAGAAGAAGTTCGGCCGCAAGGGCAAGGTCTACGTGAGCTCGGTCATTGAGGGACCGATCGAAGCGGTGTGGGGTCGCACCGCCCGCTTCGCCGACGGCTCGTGGATGCCGGGCGTCTCCGCCAGCGGCTACCTTGGTACAGCGCAGCAGCGGATTAGCACGATGATTCAGAACTTGAGATTTTCAGTGCGATGAAGTTAATCGGTGGACCGTGGATGAAGAGGAGGGGGTGCCCAAGGAGGACAACTCTGTGGGCAAGAACCGGTTCCTGTCCTTCGGCGACCTGCAAGTCGTTGAGACTCTCACCGGCTACTCCTCCACGGTTCGATCTCTTCCGATCTTTCGCTCTTTCCAAACCAAAGATTGAGCGTTGGGCGTGCAGGAGCACTTCTACAGCTACGCCCTGGTGAAGAAGGACGAGGGGCTCTTCCCGGGTGACTTCATCAACTACCACGCGCGCATGTCGTTCAAGCGTGTGACCGACAAGAACGCCACCTTTGCCGAATGGTGCGTGCCTTCCTCCTTCTTCTCTGATGGAGCAGCCCACGTGACTGTTTCCTCTCTCGACCAACTCAGGAGCGCCGAGTTCGATGGCGAAGAGTCCACCGTGGAAGCTGTGGAGCAGTTCGTCGCGCGGCAGGTGTTCGGTGGCAGCTTCAACAACCTCAAGCTCACCTTCAACTCCGCCGTGCACTAGTAGGTTGAGGCGCCGCGCATGACCTCGAGATGTTCAACACGCACACAACACGCCACATCCTTTCGGAGTCTCGTGTGTGCTTTCTTCACACCTCTTTAGCTCCTCTCGCCGACTCGCTTCTTCTTGCTGCAGCTCCGCCCTCTCCTTCTTTGATTCGCAAACGGCGTCAAGGACCTATTTCGGCGCTATCCTTCGCTTTATAAAGTCAGACGAACGGGGTACCTACCACACAAACACACGAACACAAACAGCCACGAAGCAAAGAGATGTCGAGCGCGGAGAACAAGTTGGGAAGGAAGGGTAAGGTCTACGTGAGCACGGTCATCGACGCCCCCATCGAGGCGGTGTGGGCCACTGCCGGACGGTTCGCCGACCTCTCGTGGGGCGGCGTCAACAGCAAATACCTTGGTAAGCCCCCCAATATGTTAAGAATATATAAATAATATAGTATGTAAGCATTTGCTTGCCCTGCTTCAGGATGTAATCAAAATACGTCTAAATAACTAGTCATACTACAATTATATTTATTAAAATATTTATTTTATTTGGGATATCTGGCAGAGGAGGGCTACGCGAAGGAGGACAATGTGGTGGGCAAGCACCGCCTGATTGACCTGGGTGGCAAGCACATCCACGAGATCCTCACCAGCCTCTCCGATGCTGTACGTCCCATCCGCCCTCCACTGCACATGGACTATCAGCCCATCTAACCACACATGACACGCACGAACACACGCGAGCAGGAGCACTTCTACACGTATCACATTACCAAGTCGGATGAGGGCGTGTTTCCGGGCGCCTTGGCCAACTACCACGCGCGCATATCGTTCAAGCGTGTGACCGACAAGAACGCCACCTTTGCCGAATGGTGCGCGTCGTGTGGCCTTCTTTCTTCCTTCCTTCCTTCCTTCATTCATTCATTCATTCCACCAACGCATCATCGCTCGCTCTTCTCACACAACACGACACGCAACACAACACGGGGTGTGTACGCACAATGCAGGAGTGCCGAGTTCGATGGCGAGGAGGCGACAGCGGCGGCCGTGGAGCAGGCCATCGGGCAGGGCGTCTTCACGGGTGCCTTCAACAGCCTCCGCAAGGCCTTGGCCGACAAGACCAGCGGCGCTTAATAATAAACAGCTTCGTTTATAATGAGTGAATGATTGATTTTCTGGAAGGCGGCGCGCGGTGGTCTTGTCAAAAGCCGTCGGTGGCCGGGCAGCTGGCCGGGGCGGGGAGCATCGCCCAAGAAGAAGAGGAGCTCGCGCTCATGGAGGAGACTGGTCTTGGCTGGTCCCCAGTCGCTGCAGAAGGGCTTGGACCTGCACCATCGCAAAGCAAAAGCAAAAGCCTGGAGGGTGAACATGTGGTCGGTGGTGGTGGTGTGTGGGGGGAAGTGACCTGCGGGTTCTTGGCCAGCGACAAAGGGGTCTCCCCTCGTGTGGTCTGCCCGAGCGACGATCAACTTACATTCGCAAAGTGTCGTGTGCGTCGTGTGCGTCGTGTGCGTCGTGTGCGTCGTGTGATTGGCAGGAGGGGCGGAGGTACGAGGAGCAGGGGGTTGGCGCCCTTGTCGAGGAGCAGCTGCACGATGTCCGGCTGCACGGCCCACACGGCCCAGTGCAGGGCCGACATCCCATCCAGGTCCACCGCGTCGATGTTCAACCCCGGTTGCTCCAACAGGAACCGCACCACCTGCCCTCGCCCCCCCCCCCGGCGTGAGGCCCTCGTGACCCCTGGTTTGGGGGGGGGCAGCGATGGGGCACGATCGTACGTCGAACAGGGCCATGCACGCGGCGGCCATGAGCGGGGTCGAGCCGCCCGAGTCGGCTGCGTTGACCGACGCGCCGTGCTGGATCAGCGCCGCAATCACCGGAATCCGCCCGGCTGCAAGCACGCACGCACACGCGGCCAGAGTGCACCCCCCCCCCGACCCGGCGGTCAGTGAGAAGGACGAAGGACGAAGGACAAAGGACGAAGAACGAAGAACGAAGCTTGTGGGGGCGCAAGAGCGTACTCGGGACGGCTTTCATGAGCGGGGTGATGCCGCGGGTGTAGCGCCCGTGCACGAAGGCCGGGTCTCGCTCAACAAGAGAGATCGCCACTTTGTCGTGGCCTGCGGGTCCACTCCATTGCGTTTAGAGCACGCACGGCACGACACACAACACACGACACACACACGACACACGGAACTTGTCGTGTCGTTCGCACCTTGACTCAACGCCCACTCGAAAGTATCGTAGGCACATTGGTTGGTGACCTTCCGTATCTCCTCTGGTGGGGCGAGCACCACAGTGCGTTGTATGGTTGAGTGGCGCTTTAGGCAAAGCACAGCTCTCATCGGGCCCCGGGGGGGGGAGTTGAAGCGAAGGACAAGTTACATACTTCGGTTGCGGGCTTGTGCGCGTGCGAGTTCCCGCAGGGCCTGGACCGCGCAGACTTGCCACGGGCCAATTCCTCGCCGCGTCCTCACTCTGAACACGCACACGCACACGCACCACCGCACGCGCACACGCACCACCGCACGCGCACACGCACCACCGCACGCGCACATTTCGACGGTTGAGTGATTCGATCGACCTGCACTTACTTTGGTCGCAGACGTACACACGGGCGGGCGGTGCAGCGAGTGGACCCAGGTGGGCGGCGTAGAAGGCGCGCCAGAGGGTCTCGTCGTCGGACAACGCCAGCCACTCCCGACTCACCAGACGGCACACACGCACCACCTTTTATATTTAATTAGTAATTTATCTTTTATCTTTTGTTTTTTCTTTACCTCGGCACAGCCAACGAAGAGGAAGAGGCGGAGGCGGAGCTCGGCGGGAAGGGTCTCCCATGAAGCTGTCGGGCTTGCACTCATCGTGGAAGCTTTTTCGGAGGAGTGAACGAGTTCCGCCTCCCCAAGGCTTTTCGACTTCTTCATCTGCAGTTGTTCTTCTTCTGTCCCATCCTCGCGGTCATCTCTCCGCTCCAGTTCTTGATCGCTCTCTTCTCGCGATCTCTTGCTCATCTTCGTTTTCGAATGAGTGAATGAGCTGTGCGCGTTTTGTTTCCAGGAAACACAATTTTTTTTGATTTCGTTTCGTTTCGTTTGTTTTCTTTGTTTTTGGTTTTGCAAAACTAACTAACTCCGTTGGCTTTGACAAAAAAAGGTACGAGTCCCTTGACGGCCCAACTCGCTTTGTGATTCTGCCTCCTCTCCATGTACGGGCGGACAAGTGTGGGTCTGTTTCTGGCGCTCGGCGCCCTGTTGGTGGTCCTGTTCAGCGCTGCCGCCGTCGATGGTGCCAACACAGCGGTCAACTTCAACTTCAAGGGCCTGATTCGTACGTTCGATACCCTCTTCTTCATCCCCCTCACGTTGCAGGTGCTCAGGTGCTGATTGTGCTCAAAACAATACCAAAACAAATATAAAATAATCCCCACAGCCGCGGCTGAGAGCGAAGTCTGCGAAGACTGCGAGACCTGCGAGGACTGTGAAGTCTGCGAGATCTGCGAAGATTGCGAGACCTGCGAAGAGTGCGAGACCTGCGAGGAGTGCGAAGTGTGCGAGGAGTGCGCGCCGATGTGCCCTTCGCGCTCGCCCTTCGCGGAGGAGCCCTACGAGTCCTCGATCTTCGCCTCGCTCTCTGCCTCCGAGCTGCGCGACGTCGAGTGGTGGCTTCTATCCCAGGAGTCGCTAGCTCTGACGCCACGCACCAATGCGACCCTCCAGGACAACTACATCTTCTACATCGACGCCATGCCGCCGGTCAAGGCCGAGGCGCTGGCCTATCTCGATGGCGACGGACCCCGTCCGGCTCGCTACGCTCACGTCGTACTCTACCTGTGCGCGGAGGAACAAGTCCGGGAGCTGAAGGTAACCCACCCGCACACACTACCGCACACACCGCCGTACACGCACACACACACAACACACGACACACGCGAGTTTTTGTTGCTGAGGGAAGGGCTGGCGTGTAGGTTGGACCCTTGCCCACGTCGGAGGAGACGACGTGGACCAGGTGGGACACCGTCACCTACCCGGGCGGCCTGCCGTTCAACTCGCGTGTTCCCGACGGCGTCGAGTACGATGCCATCGACACGTACGTGCTCGCCCCCATGGCGGAGCAGATCGAGAACATCATGATGGAAAGCTTCGGCACTGCGTACACCAACTGTGAGGGTATGACACACAACCGCACGACACACACACACCGCACACGAAGGCATGCTTGCTGACGCGTGGACGGTTGTTTGGCGCTCTTCTTCTGCTCATCTTTTGTTTTTTTCGTGTCTCGGCCCGTCTACAGCGAACTGCCTCAGCTACTCCGACTCGGCGCCGCGCTCGACCCCGGCGGACCCCGACACAAGGCAGTCGTGGTTCTTCTGGGTCTACGACGTCGAGGGAAGCTGGATTCAGGTCAGTTGCCTTGAGCTCTCCATTACCAGTTTTTTTTTTGAAACTCGAGCTTGCGACACTCACACCACACACTCACCATTCTAGGAGGTCGGCCTTGAGACGCTGGTGTGGCACGACAGCACGGACCCGACCGAATTCAGGCTGCTCAAGCTGGTCTACAATTTTAACCCAATTTCCACGCGTACTCCTACCCCCTAGGCAAGGCGACGTGTTGCCTGGCGATGACGTGCAGGGTGCCACGCAGACCAACCCGGCCGGCTCCCGTTTCAACATCACCGGTGAGACCCACATCGAATACCTCGGCTGGGCGTTCGACTGGAGCATCACACCCATCACCGGTACCAAGACCCCCGAGAGCACCTACAGCTGGTCCCAGCACGGTGTGCGATAACGACCAACTTCTCCCCAAAAACGGCAGGCGTGACCCTCTGGGACATCAGGTTCCAGGGCGAGCGCATCGTCTACGAAATGGGTACCCAGGAGGTCTACGTGCCCTACTCTGGCCGCTCGCCAGCACAGGTGCGCTATTGCCCTCCCCCCGTACGGCCGCGTCCGAGCTGACACTGCGACCCTCCGTGCCCACGCGTGTGCGGCGCAACACACACACACACACAACACAACACAGTCGAACTCGCTGTACTTTGACACGGCGTGGGGATTCGGCGCGAGCTCGTTCCCGATGAAGGCCGGAGTGGACTGCCCCGAGGGCGCTGGCTTCCTCGATGTCACGCAGTACTTCGAGACCGGCGACGTCGTGGTCCACAAGAACGCCATCTGCGTGTTCGAGAAGGACGCCACCATCCCGGTCAGGCGTCACTACGAAATGCTCCGCGGTGCTCGTCCCCCCCCCACAACGCCTCATTGCCACGCACACAGCCCGTTTGTTTGTTTCACGCGCGACCTAATACCTCCTACCACAAGACTCCTATGCGGGCACCCCTTCGCGAGCCCTGGTGTTCCGTCATGCTGTCACTGATTACAACTACGATTACATCTTGGTACAACCAACCAGCATCAAGGCCATCATCATCGTCACCATCGTCATCATCACCATTATTATCTACTTGTTCTCCTTTTCTTTCTTGTTGTCTGGACTGACGCGACCCTGGTGATGATGGTTACATTGGCGTGGTGCAGGATTACGAGTTCTACCCCACGGGCGCGATTGAGGCCCACGTCGCAGCCTCGGGCTACCTGCAGGGTACCCTGTACAGCGAGGAGGAGGCCCAGTACGGCAGTCCCAGGTACCGCCCACCACTCCCCGCAAGTCGTAGAAGACCGCCTCGACCTGACGCGCCTGTGTCGTCCGCGGCGGTGCGTGTCGCAGAGTGGGTCCGTACCAGAGCGGCACGTTCCACCAGCACTTGTTCCTCTACAAGGTCGACATCGACGTGCTCGGCACGGACAACACCCTGCGCGTCACCCGCTTCCCGAGCGTCGAGATCAACGCGCCGTGGTTCGACGGCGCCACCAAGGTCCGCCCGGTGCCCGAGCACTACTACGTGGCCAACGAGACCGAGTCCACCTTCTTCCCCGACTTCAACGATCCCATGGTCTTCGCCTTCACCAACGACCACCAGACCAACGGGTACGAACTTAACACTCACCGCACACACCGCACGACACGCACGGCTGTGACTCGTGACTTACACACGCTGTGGGTGTTGGTGTGGGGCTGGTCACCGCTGTGAAGCTACGGAGCCGAGCGCGCCTACAGGATTCATTCGACGTCGTTCGTGAAGCACCTGTTCCCGGGCGCCCTGGGCGATGCGGCTTCGTGGGCCAACTACCACCTCGCCGTCGTCCAGCGCAAGGAGGAGGAACCGACCCCCAACAACGTCTACGCTCAGGCCCGCCCCTACGACCGCGCGCTTGGCCTTTCAAGGCACGCACGACACACGACACACACGACACACCACACGAACATGTGTCTGACGATGGCAATGGACACTACAGGAGTCTGGACAGGTGGTTGGAGGACGAGGATTCCCTGGAGCAGGAGGATCTGGTGGCCTACATCAACTTGGGCGTCAACCATCTGCCCCACACTGAGGACGTCCCCGTGACGGTCACCCCGACCAGCCACGTCAGCTTCGTCTTGCAGCCCATCAACTACTTCGATCGCGACCCGGCCAGCGCCCTGCGAGACGGCGTGCGCGCGTTCGTGACCGAGAGTGGGATACTCGCGGAAGATGAATCTGATCCGCTTCGCCTGGTCCCTGGCGAGGCTTGCGTCGTAGAGGCCGAAGAGGTGCCGCAGGTGGCGCCGTACGCCTCGGGGACCAGGGGCCCCGGGGCCTGACAGATGATTTCGATCCGAGATAGCTGGGTCTTGCCCTCGTGTGAGCAATGAATGCAAAAGTTGAGGTGATTGGGATTATTTGATTTGATTTGTTTTTTTTTTTTTTTTTCGATTCGTGTGGCGCGAGAAGAGGAATCAAATCTCAGCGGCCCATCCGAGGGGTGGACGTGAAGTGGAGCGTGGCGCCAACCCGCGATGGCTAGACGAAGATGGACCATCTTGAGAGCCCCGCGGCCGCCGCCCCGACGCAAGCTGCGGGGCATTCAAAAGGCCATTGCGCGACGGCAACGCGATGAGAAGGAGAAGCTGATGCAGTGGAGGCTCGCCCTCGAAGTGGAGGAGGAGGCCAAACAGAAAGCCACCACAGCAAGCGGTGAAGTTGTGAATGGCGATGATTCCACCACACACGGCACCGAGGCTGCGACGACACCCACCCAGGCAATCAAAATGGAGGGAGGCGCCGTCGCTGCCACGCCGGCCTCGAAAGAGGGCGAGCAGAATGCGATGGACGTAGTGGCTACCAGCGGAGAACCGACCACCGCGCCTGCGATCTCATCGAGTAGCGGCGAATCGACCACGAATGCGGCCACAGCTACCGCTTCATCAACAACAGGAGGCGCCGCATTGCCGCAAGAGGGGAGCGAAGGAGATGAAAAGAATGGCTTGGCATCTGCCGGCGCTGCAACATCGGCGACCGCGATGGCGGCGAGCATCGCGGCGAGGATCCAGGACGAGGAGGAGCGGCGGGCCAAGATCGATGAGCTCGAGCGGAAGCTGGACGTGCTGGGCGAGCAGAAGCACAAGCTGTTCCTCCTCCTCAAGCAGGTGCTCTTCGTCGACGAGAAGAAGAGGAAGAAGCTGGCCGAAGAGGAACGCAACCGCCTCGAAGAGCAACGACGGTACATCCGTCCACCGCCACCGCCACCACACCGCAGCTCAATGGACGCCAGCACCAAGGCACTCACTCGCGTTGCGTGCTGGCAGGGCGGAGGAGACGCGCCGACTGATGCAGATGAAGGCGCTGAGGGACTCAGGCAAGGAGCCACCAAACGAAGGTGTGCGCGTGTGTGCGTGTGCATGTGTGTGCGTGCGGTCTGACATATGACGGTCAGCAGGCGGTTCGCAGGGTGCGCGGCCGCAGTACGGAGAGCCGCACGGCTACATGTACCCGCCACAGCGCGAATACGGCAGAATGGGTATGAGCCCCGGCGGAGGAGGTGAGCGCTCATCACTCCCCTCTTACACCACACGCCAGTCTTCTGACCGTTGTGTGTTGTTGTGTGGTGTGTGCGTGTGCGTGTGTGTGGTGCCATTCCAGGCGGGGGCTTATCTTCGTCAGCAGGCGGTGGCGGGTATCACAGCAGCGGAAGCGGCGGGCTGGGGTCGCGCGGCGGTTATCCGCCACACCTTACGATGTCGCATCCGCCGCTGGCACCCCGGTCCCCGCTCTCGCCCTCCCACTCGCAGCACTCGCCCAACCACTCGCCGCTTCACCCCAGCAGCGGCGGCTCGCGCGACAGCCGCAAGCGACGCGCGCCTCCGCTCTCCTCCTACAATTCACCTTCCATCGTACGCCGTTCCTACCTCGTGTGCGTGTGCGTGTGCGTGTGCGTGTGCGTGTGCGTGTGCGTGTGCGTGTGCACGCGCAATATTAAAGTGTTAGCGCTCGCAGGGCGGTAAGATGCAGCCTGACAGAGGTCTTCCGCCATCCCCGCCGACTTCTGGCGGTGGCGGACCCATGTCCCAGCACCCTTCACACGCTCCGGTACGGTGTCGTGTGCAGTCGTGTGCGATCGAGTGCGATTATGCGTGTGCTCGTGTGCGCAGTGCTTTTTTCCCGCTTGTGCACTTACCCGTGCCGTATTGATAGCCTCGACGGGGACCACCTGCAATGTTTCCCTTCAGTACTTGCCACACCTCGCCCGTTGTTGGTTGTAAACGATGAGTTTCACAGTGTGCTCACATCACGGTCTCGCCCGAGCAGGCAGCCATTTTCCACAGGTGCCGCCGGTGCACATCCCGGCCCACATGGCCATCCCCCATGGCATCCCGCTCGGAATGCTCCCCGCCCAACTCGCTCTCCAGGTACCCGGGACTACTGCTCTCGTGTCTTTCATCTGACCAGCAACGCGCCCTGACCACCGTCGTGTCGTGTGTTGTGTGTCGTGCGCACAGTCCCAGTTGGGCATTCCACCGTTTCCACCACACATGATGAGACCCGGCCTTCTGCCCACCCCGCCACCTGGAGGCTATCGCAACCGGGGCGGTAGCGGCGGCGGCGGAGGTGGTGGCGGCGGTTCTCGAGGCGGACCTCCGCCGCGCGTGCGAGGCAGCGATCGACGCGGCTGGTGAGACCACTCAAGGTAGTATTTGGAATCGTCGTCTTCTTCTGCAACGCGATGACAAAGTTAGGAAAACGGGGAACAACAAAGGTGAAGGTTTTGACCAGAGCAGTCTTTTTTATGGACGTGGTGCGGTGGCTTCTTGGTTCTCCTGCGAATGCCAGGCGTACACCTCCCGATCCTCCTGAGCCAAGCCCACCTTGTACCCCGACCCACCATCATCAACATCCACCGTCTTCTGCTCTCTTGACCCAACTCCAAGGCCTGGCCCAGCCCGTGGCCATCTGCTCGAGAGAGGGCCAGGTGGTCTTCTGGGTGCACGTAGAGGACCGGCTGTTCGCCCGCAAGGGCTTGGCCATCGCCTCGCGCACCTACGCCATTGTTGCGGCCGACACGAGCGACAGCCAAGTGGTGGTCGAAGGCATCACCAAGGCGGGCCAGAGGTGGAGGCTCGAGATGAAGACCAGACAACACAACAACAACTACGGTGGTGGTGATGATGATGGTGTTGGCCCCAAGTTCAAGTATCTGGCGATGGCCGATGTCTTCGTGGGAGGCGCAGGCAAGTGGGTCGATCTGTTCATCTGGTCTGACATGCAGAGGCACCACCACGCGTGAGACAAACTTTGATGAAAAAAGATGCAATGATGGTTATGATGACAACGCCCGAGTGTGTGTTGCTGTTTGTATTGCTCTCTCTCTTCTCTCGTGTGTTTGGGCAAGAGAAGATAAGTAGAAGAAGAAGCCAACCGTATATACTGCGTGCAAGGTCTGCGAGAGGAGAGAAGGCAGAGAGACGCGCACGATCGGAATCGAAGTGGCCGGGAAGCATCCAGCCAGCCTAGTAGTAGTACAGCTCGAGGTTCATGCCATCGCGGACTTCGTAGTCGGCCAGGGAGATGTTGTCCTTGTAGATCGTGTACCTGTTGAAGGAGACGTGGGCATCAGAAGGGTTAGCGAGCGCACAACAGATGAAGGGAAGAGAGAGCATGCACACTCAACAGAACTACACGACACACGACCACAGCACGTAGAAGAAGAAGAAGAAGAAGAAGAGGGAGAGTGAAGGGCACCAACCACTTCTGGATGCGGATCTTTTCTGCCTTGGTGCCGGTCTGTGCAGCCACCATCTTCTTGAGCTGGCCAACAGTGTCGTTCGAGCTGCACCAAATAGATTTGATTAATAATGGTGCATCATAATCAAATGTGAAATGGTTTGGATAGCGATCGCTACGTACCAAGCCTTGACGCGGACCTTCTTGCCCAGACGGTCGTTGAGCGTGATTTCAATCATTTGGCCTCGGTTGCCTGTGTTGGTGCCGCCCATTTGCGTGCCCTGCCCCTGGTAGGTGGTGATCTTCGAGAGCTCCTTCATCTTCTTCTCCTCTTCCAGCTTGGCTGCCAGTTTGCTCTCCAATTCCTTGAGCTTGGCTTCTTTCTCCTTGCGCAACCGCTCGGCCTTTAGTCGTTCCGTTTCCTCTTCGATGTCCTCCTCTCGTCGTGATCTCTTGCGATCCCTGTCTTCGTCATCGTCCCCCCTTCTGCTGGATCGTCTGCTGCTGCGCGAATCCCTCTCGCTCACGTCATCGTCGCGGCTCCTCTTGTCTCGGCTGCTCCCACTGTCGCGATCGCGCCGGCTGCGCAGCCTTCGGTCGTCTTCGTCATCATCGCTGCGGCGACTGCGACGTCGCTCCGAGGACGAATCATCGTCCCTGTGCCGCCGGCGGTCATCGTCCGACCTTCGACGATCCGAGTCGCGATCTCTGTCCCCATCCTTGTCCTTGTCCCGCTCTCTTTCTCTCTCCCTTCGATCCGACATGCTGCGCGTTCTTCTGATGATTATTGCCCACTTTTGCTTCTTTTCTTCAAGTTCCGTCCAACTTTTTCCGTTCTTTTTCAAATCCATTTCCGAAACACTTCTGATGATTTGAAATTAATTGGTTAGTGTTATTTTATTCAATTCAACTAAATTCATTGCGGGCTCATCTGACGTGCGACTTCATTGGTGCTGGGGCCGTTCACCGCTCGGCGAGCTCACAGGCGCCTCCGGCCACCACGGCCACGCGAAGAGCTCGGTGGACAACCACGGCCATGGTTGCGGCGTGCCGCCTAGTACCGGCGAGAGAAAAAGGAGACGAAAAAATGCATCTCAACCACATAACCCAAACCTAACACCCGGCCGCACACAACACACAGTACACACGACCATGGCAGCCTGCACGCGAACCAACACGGGGGACACGGAGACGCTGGTCGACGTGCTGCACCCGTCGCACGCCGGCCGCACGGCGGTGGTGCTGCCCGAGGCCGCGCAGTCGCTGACCTACGCCCAGCTGGCGCACGAGGTGTCCCACGCGCGGGACGCGCTCAGCGCGGCCGGCCTGGGGCGCGGCGACGTCGTGGCCATGGTCCTGCCCAACTGCCTCGAGTTCGTCGTCTGCTGGCTCGCCACCACCAACGGCCGCTCCATCGCCGCCCCGCTCAACCCCGACTATCGGGTACACCCCCCCCCCAAGGCCACAATCTTTTTATCTTTTTCTTCACAGATCGAATCACAGCATTTCTCAATCAATCAATTAAAAATAAATATTATTTGATAAATTGGAAACAAAATTCAAAGATTTAATCACATCTTCATTGCAGCTGGATGAGTTCAAGTTCTACTTGGAGGACACGGAGGCCAAGGCGGTGATCGTGCCCCGAGGCGGCCGCGCCGCGGTGGCGGTCGAGGCGGCCCAGCAGCTGCGCGTGCCCGTGTGGGAGACCTGGGCCGAGGTCGACGCCTCGTCGGGCCGCGTGCGCGTGGGCCTCGAGTCGGTCGAGCCCCTGCCCGTGCGCCGGGCCACGGCCTCCGAGCTGCGCGTCGCCCCCGAGCCCGAGGACGTCGCGCTCTTCCTGCACACCAGCGGCACCACCGGAAGGCCCAAGGGTAACCACCCACCGCACACGCACGACCGCACACGCACACGCACGACCGCACACGCGGTTGGCTCACCGCACACACACGCAGGTGTGCCGCTCACGTACAGGAATCTGGTGACGAACCTGCGCAACATCAGCCGCCACTACCGGCTCACGCCCGACGACAGGTCGCTGATCGTCATGCCCCTCTTCCACGTCCACGGACTCATCGGGTACGCTCACTTCACCGCGCATTCGCGCTGCCGCCGCTCGCTAACCGCACGCGCGCCACCGCACACACACCCATCGCACACGCGCCACCGCACGCGCAGGTGTTTGTTGTCGACGCTGTACAGCGGTGGTTCGGTGGTCATCCAGCCGGGCAAGTTCTCGGCCACGACGTTCTGGCGCGACTTCCTGTCGAACGAGTGCACCTGGTACTCGGCCGTGCCCACGATCCACCAAATCTTGCTGGCCCGCGCCGACAAGGACTACACCACCTCCGGCAAGCTCCGCTTCATTCGCTCCTGCTCGTCTGCCCTCGCCCCCGGTACCCATCCCACACGCACCACCGCACACGCACCACGCACCACGCGCACCACACGCACACACTCATCGCCGCACACGGCATACGACTAAATTGTGACTGCAGCGGTGTTCAAGCAACTGGAGGAGCGGTTCAAGGCGCCGGTGATCGAGGCCTACGCGATGACCGAGAACTCGCACCAGATGACGTCCAACCAGCTCCCGCCCGGCAAGAGGAAGCCCGGCTCCGTCGGCCAGGGCACCGGTACGCGTTTCCCACCCACCCACCACACCGATAGCTTTCTTCGGCTGACGCGGTGTGTGTGCGTGTCGTGTGTGTCATGTGTGTTGTGGTGCGTTCTGTGAAGGGGTGGAGGTGACGATCAGGGACGACAGCGGGAAGGAGCTGGCGCAGGGCGAGAAGGGCGAGGTGTGCCTGCGCGGCCCGACCGTGACCAGGGGCTACCACAACAACCCGCAGGCCAACAAGACCGCCTTCCACGAGGGCCGCTGGTTCCGCACGGGCGACCAGGGCTTCTTCGACGAGGACAAGTTCCTCGTCTTGACCGGACGCATCAAGGAGCTCATCAACCGCGGTGGCGAGAAGATCGCTCCCTCCGAGGTATGGCACACGACACGCGCACGACACGACACGACACGCACGCTAACGTGTTTGTGTGTGTGGTCAGATTGACTCGGCGCTGCTGTCGCATCCGGATGTGAGTGAGGCGGTGAGCTTCGGCGTGCCGAGCGACAAGTACGGGGAGGAGGTGGAGGCGGCGGTGGTGCTCAAGGGCGGCCGCGAGGGCGGCAAGGCGGTCGAGGAGGCCATCCTCAAGCACTGCCACGCCAAGCTGGCCGCCTACAAGTGCCCGCGTCGGCTCTACATCGCGAAGGACCTGCCACGCACCGCCACGGGCAAGATCCAGAGGCGGCACGTCGCCACCCACTTCCTCAAGAACTCCGCCGACAGCGACAAGTCGCTCAAGAAGGCCAAGCTGTAGGTCGTGTAGTGTGCGGTGACCGAAGAAAGTAGGAGTAAAACATCTTGACTTCAGTTTGCAAATCTGTGATCCGTCGCGATGCAGGTGGACGTGTCACTGAAGATGGAGCTGTGAGTTGGGCCGCACAGGCCAGGGTGGGTCGTGCTCGTCCTCTGCTTCAGCCTCGGCCTGTTGTTCTTTGTCACGTCGCGCCAGGACGCCGTCTTCCTCGATGACACTCTGCCCGACACCACCGACAACGACGACATCAACATCGACAACGACAACTCTCATCATCACCATCAGCAGCAGCCCAGCAAACACCACCGCCACAGCTTTCGGGGCACGTTTTCCCAGCCCGAATTGCTGTGGGCGCCCACGTACAAGGTGGCGTCGGACCACTACCAGATCGCGTCCGACGAAGGTCCCAGCCATTGCGCCGGCAAGAAGTACACATGGGAGGCCTGCCCCGGCCCTAGCCCCAGCCACATCAACGCCTCGCTACAACACGGCATGTGCGTATTTCCCCACTTCTTCTTCTGGCCACCACTGCTACAACTCTAACATAACGTAATACGACGTGATGATGATGATGTCTGTGTTGTTGCTGTTGCTGCTGTTGTGGCAACAACCCAACCACACAGATTCGAGCTGCACTGCCCAGCCGGCGTGGTGGGCCTCTACTCATTCGACATCCACGGCAATGGCACACAGTGGAACGAATACCCTGGGCACCCAGGTACCACATCATTCTCGATTGCACTTGTAACTTGAAAGCAAGCTGACACAACACAACACAACACAACACAACACACAGTGGTGACCGAGGCGACGGCGGTGATCGCGCGCTGCACCACGCGCGACTGCGAGAAGTTTCTGGACTCGCAGCACATGTGCCCGAAGGACGATGTGTTCCTCACGCAGGTGCTGCTACGGCCCGACGTGTCCGCCCGGCGGGTCGACGTCAACCTGCCGCTCAACGTGCTCGTCCTCTTCACCGACTCGGCGCCCCGGGCGGACTACGTCGCCAGCCTCCTCCAGACCGAGAAGGTGCTGCGCGAGCTCGAGGAGACTGACCATCACACCACCTTCAGCTTCCCCTTCTACAACGCCATCGGGCAGGGTACATCTCTCGTTATCATATGATAAAGCCGCATATGTTTATATATATTGCATTACATCACATGGATATTGATATACATGTTTATTGATATAAAACAGGCACGAAGAGGTGGTTCTACTCGGCGATGGGTCGCAACAGTACGGCGAACCCGAGCGTGTTCTCGCCCACGCCAGAGGGCAAGGATGGGATTCCCTGGGTGTGGGAGCAGTTCAGGGGCCACGGCTACGCCACGGGCATCTCCATGGAGGGCTGCTGGTGCGGCGAGACCGAGGACTTCTTCCGCTCCTACCCCTACGGTATTTTCTTTATTCATTTATTCATTTAAGTGGATATCTGACACTTATTGTTTATCTTCCAACACAAATTCAAAAAGGCGGACCCAGCGAGGAGTGGGGAACGAATTGGAACTACTACGAGGAGCTGGGCGACTACCAGCTGATGAACGTGTTCTGCGCGGTGGACGTGAAGGACGGGTCCTACCGGCGCGACAACACGCAGTACGACGTCGAACTGGACGAGGCCCCGATCTGCCTGGGCGGCGACTACCAGTCCAACAAGTTCTACGAGTGGGGCTTCCAGTTCATCGACGCCCAGGAGCGGATGAACAGGGACGGGCACCGCGACGCGCTGCAGCGCGAGGGTCAGCGCGTGCAGCCCTGGTACCTGTACCACCAGACCATGTATGCCCACGGCCCAAGCCCCTGCGCCGGCATGCAATTCACCGACATGCAGATGGCCAAGTACTTAGGGTATGTAAGCCCCCACATTCTTTTGGCTGTTTACTCCATATCCCACACATAAGCTGAAATTGAGCTTAATATATATACACACATACTTCACAGGCGTCTGCACAAGCACGGCTACATGAACAACACCATGTTAGTGCTGGTGTCGGACCACGGCAATGGCTATTTCTACGACAATCCCTTCCTGGCCCTCACGGGTTTGCCCCCTCCCCGCTCCCTATGACGTCAGCGTCTCGTTCACGCCCTGAGCTTCTCTCTTTCTTCTTCGGTCGCACACAGTGCCGAACTGGGTGCTCAATGCCCGGCCGGAGATCGGTCGCAACCTGGAGAACAACCAGCACCAGCTCATCTCCGGCTACGACATCTACATGACCCTCACGCACCTGCTCAACTACCCCAGCGAATACCACCACCCGCGGTTCGACGACTACGCCAAGCGCCACAACGGCCAGTCCCCGCCCGGCCGCAGCCTCCTCTCCACCATCAACCAGCACCGCTCCTGCGACGACGTTGGCGTCCCAAGCACGTCATGCTGTGTCGGTATGCCTTCACACAACACACATATGACACACACATACAACACACACACAACACACCGCAATTCAAAAACTCATCGAGTGCGCAGGTCAATTCAAGCTCGAGAAGCTGGACGCCGAGGACAAGGCGGTGGTGCACATGGCCAGGCAGGCGCTCGAGTTCGTCAACAACGAGACGGAGCCGTTCCGTAGCGCGTGCCACGTGTGGACGTTCGCGCGGGTGCTGGAGGCCAAGCGCCTGGGAGACACCGAGGTGGTGATCTACCAGACGCGCGAGAACCAGGGGCGTTTCAAGGCCTCGTTCGCCGGCGGGCGCATGGCCAGCGTCAAGCAGCTCTCCATCTGGAACCCCAACAAGAAGTGCATGCCCAACGGCGTGCGCATGGAGTACTGCCAGTGTCTGCCCGTCAACATCAGTGACTAGTCGAGAGCGGCACATGTGCTTCTCTTCTGTCTCTTTATTCTGTCACAAAGCAAATAGACCACGCTTTCTGCAATCTACTTCGCCACTACACATATCCTGCTTCAACACGACATCCCGGCCGACATCAAGCAACCCTTCTCCAAGCCAGCTAACGCCATCCCTCTGCTGCCTTGGCTGTGGTCAGTTCAGTCAGGACATGAAGCAGCCGGCCGAGCGTGAATCATGCAACGTGCAGGCAATAAAAGCGCTAGACATTCCCTTCACACACGAAGCTGATGGACTCTGCGTGGTTATGAACAGTTGTGTTGATTTGCAAAGTAGTGGCTGCAGGCAATACTCTTAGTTGCCACCCCGGAGACGGAGGACGAGGTGGAGGGTGGACTCCTTCTGGATGTTGTAGTCGGCGAGGGTGCGGCCGTCCTCGAGCTGCTTGCCAGCGAAGATGAGACGCTGCTGGTCAGGGGGGATACCCTCCTTGTCCTGGATCTTCTGCTTCACGTTCTCGATCGTGTCGGACGACTCGACCTCGAGGGTGATGGTCTTGCCAGTCAGGGTCTTGACGAAGATCTGCATACCGCCACGGAGGCGGAGGACGAGGTGGAGGGTGGACTCCTTCTGGATGTTGTAGTCGGCCAGAGTACGGCCGTCCTCGAGCTGCTTGCCGGCGAAGATGAGACGCTGCTGATCAGGGGGAATACCCTCCTTGTCCTGAATCTTCTGCTTCACGTTCTCGATGGTGTCGCTGGACTCGACCTCGAGGGTGATGGTCTTGCCGGTTAGGGTCTTGACGAAGATCTGCATGGTCTAGAGGTAGTAGAAGTTGTGTGCGCGAGTAGTTGGTAACGCTTGTGTGCGCGTTGTGTTTGTTGTGATGATCGAAGATTGGGGCGGGTTTTGTTGCTGTTGCTGTTTCTTCCGCGAAGCCTTTTTCTCGAGACTTCACGGAATTCGAAAGGTTTAAGAAACGCAACCAAAACGTTTCGAAACGAAATGGCTTCCGTTCCGGCGGAAGATCGCGGTTTCGTGTCGACACTGCTTGGTTGGCGCACGAGCGGTCGGCTTTCCTCTCGACTTTCGAGCCGTCGGCGTGAGGCCAGCGGAACCACGATAAAAGGGCCAGCACAGGGCTTGCAGTTCAAAAGTTCAGAAGAGAAGCAATAGACAACAGCAGCCAACATGTCCGACCGAAGAACCGCCCGTGATAGCCGTGAGCCCGAGCGCACGCGCACCGTGGATCACCTTCCGACCGATGATCCCTTCAGCTGTACCGCCAGCTCTCTCCTTTCTTCCACTTCTGCTTCATCTTGTTATGATTGTTGGTGGCGCGTGTGTGCTCACCCAGCCTTGGCTCTCTTGGTAACACCAGTGTGCAGGAAGATCGTGAAGACGATGAAGCACCAGCACCCCGAAATCGCAGACGACCGAAAGGCGCGCATGAGCGTCTGCGCCACCTTTAGCGAGCACGGCGACGGCCTCCGAGTACGTCCAAGCGTCTTGTTCACATCATCCCACCTCAACTCACCATGTCGTAATGTGCTGTGATGATTGCAGTGCAACTACTTCATGCGCAACTATGGGGCCGATGTGAAGGAGATGATCGATGAGGGCGAGAGTGCCAGGACCATCTGCAACTCGCTCGACTTCAACAAGCGCCCGCCCAAGGCCAAGAATAACAGCTCGCCCGAGGAAAAGGCCAAGACCATGAGGAAGTGAGCTAGTTGTGGCGGTCACCGGACATCCGCGTGACTAACACCCTCATAAACACACCAGTTGCCTCAGCAATGAAAGTGTGTGTTTTCGTACTCAGTGTGGAGAGAGAGAGAGAGAGAATGAAGGTCTACTGCCCAATGTGCCGCGCCATTTGTTCAGACTCGGGCACCTTGTGATCCTTGAGCTGCGCCGCGGATTCGTAGGTCACGTTGACCGCCTTCCTGCTCAGCGTCTTGAACTCGCCCTTGAGCCCTGTGTGATTACAGTGGAAGATAGAGCATTGGCATCAAGATGGCGATCCACTTGACAAGGCCAAGAGAGGAGAAGGTACCGATGTACGAAATGATCGTTCGCTCAGCACCAAAGTTTTCGGGGATGTACAGCGTGAGCGACGTCACGTTCTGGAACTTGGTGATCCTGCCATTGTACGTGCGTCAGCAGCGAGCGACGGCAGCAAGAAAAGGCTTGCGAGGAACACGTCCAAGCCGTACCTGGTGGGATATTCGATCTCGCCCTGAGGATTCTCGGAGAGCTCCCATTCTTGCGTGGGGGCGACGTCGTCCACGCTCGAGAAGTCGATGTCCTCTCGGTTGATCCAGCTGCACGCATCGGAGAAATGTAGCTAAAGAGAGTGAACGACATGAACGGCTCGGATGAGGCGCGGGCGTAGATGGGCGCGTACGCCTTGAGTTTACCGGGGCTGGTGCCATCAGCGCCTCCGATGATGTTGATCGCTTTCAGCTTGATAGACGCAGTGAACCTACATACACGTAGACGTCTATGAGTGCCGGATGTGTGGAGGGTGACCCCTCAGCTGCTGGTAAGTGCTGTCGTACGGAATGTGGATAATCAACTGCTCGTCTGTGTCGCTCTCCACGACCTGCACACATACACCAGTCAGCTTCCTAACACTCTCGCTGGGCCATTGATTTGGTTCAGCGAGCCTTGGCGTAGGAGGGGATCACACGGCGCTGCGAGAGCGGAAGGAGAAGGGAGGTAGTAGTACCGCGGTCCGGTCGAGGCGTTGGTCCCAGGGCTTGAACACTTTGGCCACCGTGCCGCTGCCTCGTTCGTTGAGGCAAGTCAGTCCGCCCGTGTCAATGTACCTGTGGGTGCACTCCAGCATAATCACTGAACAGCTCACTTCGCTCTCTTTTCGGATGCATAGTATACTGGAGATTTGCACGTACTGGTAGAGAGAATACTCGGCACCGCGTTCCTTCTCGGGCTCCTCCGTATGCTCGTGCGCGCAGCTTCCGCCGTGGTGATGATGATCGCACATCTTGATCAAGATTGCTACTTGCTCTGCCTGCTCCTCTGCGCTGCCATTAATATTTTTCTCTCAATTTTCTGTCGACTCAAACAAGGAAACTGCTTTTCTGCTGTATTTTGTTCTGCGGACCTACTGCAGCTCGACCTCCTTTCCCTTGGTGGGCTTGTTCGGCTGCTGGCTCTGTGGCCTGGACGAGCCACCACTGGGCCTCTTGACCTGATTCGCCTTCCTCAGCTTCTGTTCGGCGTCCTGGGCCAGCTTCACATCGGGAGCCTGCCCAAACCAACATCAAGATCGTTGCGGTCAAGCCGGCGCGCCAAAGGGAGTGAAGACGATGATGCTTCAGGCAAGAAAGAAGAACAGGCGTTGGGGCACAGTACCTGGGGGCGAAGGGCGAGTAGGTTGACAAGGTCGGCCCACGGGGTGTCGGCGGTCGTGGGGAACTGCTCGGGGCGGTAGATCTTCTCGATCCTCTTGAGAATCGCCTTGAACCTGCAACACGACCACGGCGTTGAGTTCGTTCTTCAAGGCACGCAAAGCAACATCATCATGGAATAAGGAGCAGTACTGCTCGCCTTCCTTCTTGACCATCGCGATCCTTTGCTCCTCGTCGTGTTCTTCTTCCCTGGCTGCCTCGCTCTCGTCTTCATCTTCGCCCTCGTCTTCGTCGAAGAACAAGCCTTCCTCCACCAGCGACGCACCCGCCACGACCGGTTCGTACTGGGCGACCGCCTCCGACTGATGCATTGTGCGCGTGTGTGCGGTGTGGTGAGTGGGGGAGGGACAAGAGGGAGCGAGCCGAAAGCATGCAGCACTGCTGTGCGCAAGTGTTGGCTACGCACAGTCAGCCGCTCCTGCTCTCGAAGGTCTTGCTGGTCCAGTTCGTCGCCGTCCTCGACCGTCTCGAAACCCTCCTCGTCCAAGAAGGCATTGAGCTCTTCCTGCTCTTCAAGCGGCACACTGTCGTCGTCGAGAAGCTGCACACAGAGCCAAGCGATCGCGCATACATGGGACGTGAGCGGCGAGCGCAATCGGGGGGGGGAGTGGTAAGAGTAGTACGTACCACTTCTCCGCCGTAAATCCAGTTGTAGGCATCAGCAATCTCAGGGTTCTGTGATGTGCCGCGCGTCAGCGCAAGCGTTCACCAAGACACTCTGAGGAGCGGCCGAATGCTATTGTGAAGGTGGATTTGACGCACCATGGTCTCAATGGCATGAGTGGCCATGAAGCCCAGGCTGAAGAAGTGGGCGTGCTCTGCACAAGCAAGAGAGAGAGAGAGAGAGAGTTAGTTTTCGATTTTTTAACCTACCGCCCGCGATCGTTGCGTATGGGCAGGTGCGTACGGGGGTACTTGTGGACGAACGCCAGTACGTCTCGCCACTTCATGCCCTTGGGGAGCAGCTCGGGCACAACGTTAGGAACGCCCTTAGCCTTGAGCACGTCGATCAACTCCTCCAGCATGCGCCTGGCGAAACATCAGCAACAGGTCGACAAAATCAGCAAAAACACGCAGTGGACACCATACGCGAGAAGAAACGTACTCCCTGGCCTGAGTGAGATCGGGAGGGGCAAGGAGGTCCCTCGCCGTCTCGAGGTCATCAAAGCCAAGTTCCTTGGCCTGCTCGATCGCCATCAGCCGCTCCAGCTCCCTGTAGCGCGCGGCTACCAACGTGATGATGAACACGATGACTTGCAAGTCAGCAACGAGGCTGTGACCCATTAGGCGGGTGTTGATTGGGTGGCGTACCCTTCTTGTCCTCGGCCTCGACAACGTCATAGGCATCCTGCTCAGAGTAGCCCTTCTTGATCAGCTTGCTCTGTCGGTGCACAAACGAGGTGGCCGGGTGTTGCCAATATCTGCAGAGAAAGAACGCACGCAGCGCATAGAGTTAACGAAGAAAACAAGACACCACTGCAGGAAAACAAGACCTGTGCTCGCCCACGTAGACGGTCTTGAGCTTGATCTTCCTCGCCTCGGGATGGCGATCGAACCACACCTGACGCAGCTTGTCCTCAGGATAGGTCAAGGGACCTGGACACGCGAGCCACCACAATCGACGATCGTCAGCCGAAAGAAGGCCACCGCCACGGTCAGTTCATGTGGGTGACGGTACCGGGGTGCGGGACGTTGGGGATGGTGGGGGGCGGGCTGATCAGCGTGGCCGGCATCCACGGCGGCACAGGCGACTCTCCGGCCCGCACCTGGTGGCAGCAGCGCAAGTTGAGCAGGGACCGGCAAGTGGAGCAAAGCGAGGTGGCGGGCGTACCTCCGATTGAATGTACTCGAGAAGCGAGAAGTTGGACTTGCGGCCGTTAATGCGAGCCGCATCTGCCGGAGTGGAAATTACTTTTAGTAAAAGCGAAGCAATGCACGGCACCGCAGGCTCAACAAGCCTCACTCACAATCTGCAAAATGGTAATGTGATTCAAATCCCCCCCCCTCACAATTCTCCGAAATGCTGATTAACTAACACGGACAGTGGTGGCGCGAGTGTCCAAGGAGAATTAGGAACGTACTGACGAACATGCGTCCGCCGCCCTTGCCGGCGTGCACCATTTTGCTGTAGCGATGGATGAGCTAATGGCGCAAAAGGAAAAGAAATGGTTGAAGAAATGTAAATTTATTTGATCTTTTTCTCTTTCGCTCCCTTCTTTGCGTTGCCGGCGACATGTCGATGCCTCTCGGGCCATCGCCCACCAGCTTGTCGAAGAAGGCGCGACCTAGGCCATTCAATGATGAGCGCCCACACATTCGGCCAAACTACAGAAAACCATCACATTCCCCACACGAAGCTGCGGGTCGGCCAGCCTCCTTGGGTGGGTGCCCGCAGTGCTACTGAACTCACTCCATCTTCTCTTCATGTGTGGGATCGTTGTGATAGCAGATGTCGAGACATGAAGTAGACGATCGGGATTGGCTGGAGCTGGCACAGTCGACCAAGGTGAAGGACCTGCTCGCCGCTAAGCCTAAGCAAGCTTTGCGTGGTCTTCCCATCCTCGTTGACAGGAGCGCCACCATCGAGGAGACGTTGCAGGTGCGTCGACCCCTCCCCATTCACCCTGTGAAGTCCCTGATTGGCTCTGGCGCGCGTTGTAGAAGGAGTGGGACATGTACTGACACGGAGATGCGCAGCTCCTCAAGGACAATAACATCCTGTCGGTGCCCGTCGTGGACATGAGCGGGTGTCACAAGGGCCGCAAGGTCGACTTGTACGCCTCCCCCCCCAGTCGATGTCTGTTTGGCCTGAAGGCCTGAAAGCCTACACATTCCCTATGTAAGGGACACGTTCGATGGCTTTGTCGACGTGTTGGACATCCTGGACTACCTCCTCTGGCACATGAGGGTACCCACTCTCTACTCCATGCCGCCTCGGAGAGGCCACGGCGACCAAATCACTGCAGTGGTGGTTACCCGCGCTCACGGCATCGTGTCGTGCAGCTGAAGATGGGGTTGGTCTGGCTGGGAGATTCAGAGAGGGAGGACGCCAAGGAGTTTTTCAGGACCTCCATAACCGAAGTTGTCCGTGCGTCACCACTAAAGCGCTCCACTGCACGCTAGCCAGGGCACTCACCCCGCTCGTCTACTCGCACCTGCTGCAGGGTTTGCCACGGGCAGCCATTCGATCATCGTGCGCAGGCGCGATACCATCACCGCCGTCGTGCTTGCGCTCAGAGCGCCTCTACCGCGAACCGTGCCGCATCGGTAACGTTTGATATCTCTCTATGCTATGATCATAGGCACATCATCTCTTTAACACTCACTTCGTAATATACAGCGTGGCTGTACTGGATGACGAGGATCGTGTAGCTGATGTGCTCACTCAGTCCGACTTGATCTCCTTCTTTGCACGCCACTCGGCGCGCTTCCCAAGCCTGGTATAGTTCTCTCGGCCTATCGTGTCACTCTCTGTGATGATCGCCCTCACGTAATGCCGCACCCGCCAATCCAGTCTAAGGGGACACTCAAGGAGCTGGGCCTGATGCAGCCCTGCGTCACGGTTCACTCCAAGACTTCGTTCACGGATGCCCTCCGGCTGCTGCATGACAACAGGTAGCGCTTTCTCTCTCTTCCGCCTTGAAAAGAGCGCGCACTGATGCACTCCATCAGAGTGAGCGGGATCGCCATCGTGGACGACAACTGGGTCCTGTGCGGCTGCTTCTCCGCTTCTGACCTGAGAGTACTACTCCCTCTCTCCGTTTCACGACGTACACATCTTAGTGATGTTTCATTGCAGGGCATCACAGTGGAATCGTTTTACCGCTTCAACACTACAGTGCTCGACTTTGTGCAAGAAGTGGTCAAGACCGTACGTGAGCTGGTCGAAAAATCGCATCTTGATCTGCACTAAGCTGAGTGTCGTTGTCGCCTCTAGCAAGTGAACAGGCCACCTGTGAGCTGCTCTCTAGAGACCACAGTGGGAAAGGTGACCGAGCTGATGACCAGGTACTCACCGCCTCTTGTGCGCAAGGTGCAACTGGCCGCACGGTTGACTGCGCGTGTCTCGCCACTGTGAGCAGGGAAGGAGTGCACCGCGTGTTTATTGTCGATTCCCAGCGCCACCCGTGGTGGGTGGTCAGCATGACCGACATTGTCGCTCGCCTGGTGTGAGACCTCTGACCACGAGTTTTTTGTGGCCACAGGATAACCAAAGGCATCAAACAGGAGCCACCTTCCCTTTGCTTGGAGGAGTAAAAGAGAAATGATTGGAATCTGACGCCTTCAACAACGGGCGTGGGGTGCAACAACACCCGAGTTTGCCACAAACTCCGCGCCAGAGAGGCCACGAGTGGCGGTTGCTATCGTGGGTTTGCGTGTGGCGCCACCTTTGAGCTCGCGGTGGCGGCCGAGCGCGGTAACGCACCGCGGAGAGGACCCGCAACGCCAACGGCACAAGAGAGAAGGGTGGTGGGGCGAGTCTGCAGTCTGTCTCGTACACCCCACGCCTCTGCAAGTCGCAGAGGCGTATGACAAGATGATGACGGAGGAGGGACAAAGCAGCGTGGACCTTGCTGCGATGGGATCTGATTCCCTTCATCTGCGAAAAGATTTAGGCGAGGGCCTGCATGTTATGATGGGGCACTACCTTGCCGAAGACGACGTGCTTGCGCTCCATCTCACCGTACTTCCCTTTTCCTAAATCAGGGGCTATGTAGAATTAATTGATTCAATTGACTCTACCTTCAATTACATTGGATCTTTGTGCATCGCCCCATTTCGCACAATCATCGACTGACTTTTTGATCTCTGTGTTTATTGCTTTGATTTAGCATGTGCGCGCTATGCTCGCGCGTGTGGTGACCCCAGTGTGCCCGAACAACCTGGACGACGTGGCAGCGCTCGATGACGTGATCCAAGCGCTGGTGGACCCTCGCATGCTGCACCATCCCGCGCAGCGGGTGCAGGGCCTCGCGTTGGCCTGCTTGCGGGAGGCTCTCCGCGTGTGCAGACTTGACGACTCCGACGCCGATGCTGCGGCCGCTGCCGGCGACGGCGGCGCGCAAGTTGAGAGCTGTACCTCCGCGCGCGACTCACCACTCATGCCTTCCGACGAGTCCCTGTCGCCCTATACTAGTTCGTCATCCGCAGAACTCTCCTTGTCCGCTCGTCGCGGGCCTCAAGATTCCGCCCTGCAGGCGATGGTGCGACTCTCACCTCTCCGCTGCTCTGCTCAGGCTTTATCGGGACGTGGTCGCGGATTATCGGTACTCACGGTCGTCCTCATTTGTGACTCCCCAGGTACAGAGGAGCGGAGCAGCGGAGCTCAATCTGAAGCCGGAGCGAACGCGGCTTGTGTTCGGCGAGAGTTGGCTCCGAGGCAGCACGGAGATGCATCAAGCCATCAGGTACGCACAAACGCACAGCTCTCTCCGTCGCTACGATTAGAGTACTCACTACCACTTATGTGTGTGGGTGTAATGTGGTCTGCGCCTGTAGGGAGAAGGATTGGAACAACACAGCGCTGGGTCCACAAGCAGAGTGGCCTCCAACACTTAAGACCGCACTCGACCTATGTCTCACTTCCAGCTTTCCATTCGTACGCCCTATCCACCTTGGTTTGTGGCCCACGGTTCATGTATTCTCAACTCATCTGTCTTCCAGGTAATACTGTGGGGTCCTGAGCGGCTGTTACTCTACAACGACGCCTATCGAGGCATCATGGGCGACAAGCATCCAGAGTTTCTAGGTGTGTCTCGATCACCGTTTACGCCGTGTGCGGGCGTGTGCTGGTTTGTGACCTAATCGCCGGCGTTCAACACTCAACTCAGGCAAGGGTTACGCAGCGTGCTGGCCCAATATCGGAGAGGAGCAAAACACGTTGATGAGCCTTGTCGAGCGAACAAAGAAGGCCAACTGGGTCGAGAACGTCATGCTTCCGCTCAACCGGTATGGCTACATGGAGGAATGCTATTTCACCTACTCGTACAGCCCGCTGGTGTCGGACAACGGCAACGTGGAAGGACTTTTCACGGCCGTCACCGAGACCACGACTCGCGTCATCACCGATCGACAGACACGGTGCGTTACACGGCTCTTCTGTCACCGCCTTAGGACCGGTTTGTTTTCGTTTTGTCTCTCTCTTACACACATGGCTGTTCATGCAGAACGATTCGTGATCTCTCGGTTCGAGGAGAAGAAGCCTGCACGCTCAAGGACGCCGTGCGAGTGATTCAAGAGATCGTGGCTTATACAGCCAAGTATGTGTGCGTTCTTCAGTGTGATTCCCCGTGTGCCCCCCCCCCACATTCACGTCCCGTGGTGGAGTCTTCTCACCGGTATCGTGAGTCATTGCGCTTGTCTAGGTTTGACATCTCGTTCGCCAACATCTACATGGTGGACGAGCGAGGGAGACGAGCGATTCTCACCGAGACCATCGGCAACCTGACCAAGGGCTCTTCCATGTGTCCGACGCTTGTCACGATTCCGAAGCTAATCTCACGATCGTACGTTTCTCCTTCACTGTTCGCTCTTCGTTCTTCGTTCCCTAACGCTGTGCGCACGCTGAGCAGAGACAGCAGCGACATCGGCAGGAGCGAAGACAGCGGCAAGAGCGAAGAGAGCAGCAAAAGCGATAGTCGAAGCAGTAGTTCGGAAGAGGACGAGGAGCTGGGCGGGATGTGGTGCTCCATCTTCCGGGAAGTCCTGTCCGATAAGCGACCGCAGATCTTGGACTTGACGTCGTTCGGCGGCGAAGTGCCTCCCTGCAGTGCCTGGGGCGAGGCCGAAAGCGACCGTCCGAGGTATGTTTTTTCCTTCGCCACGCCGTCGCCGTCTTTGTGACTACCGGAGACTGATGTGGGCTGCTCTTCGTCGGGGTCTCCCTCGTCGTGCATAGTAGAGCGTGTATGGTGTCGCCCATGCTGGCCTATAGCGGCAGCGACAAGGTGTTCGGGTTGCTCGTGACAGGCATCAATCCCCGTCACGAGATCGATGACAATTACCGGTACCCATCGTACACTGCCCGCACACCTCTTCCTATTCTTACACTGCTTTGGCCACTGACCTGAGCTATGGCCTCCACCACACCACTCTGAAACCACGCAGGTTATTTTTGCACCTGTTCACGACCAACGTGGCCTTGATCATCACCTACGCCCTTGCGCGGGAGGAGGACGCCCGACGACGGGAAGCCCTGGCCGAACTCGCGCGGGCGAAGACGGTGTTCTTCTCGAGCATCTCGCACGAGTTCCGCACGCCGCTCACCCTCATGCTCGGGCCGCTCGAGGTACGGCCGCTTTACCTTCTCTGTCGCTTGCACTAGCTCATTGGCTCGGGTCTATCCCACGACTTGTTGTCTACAGGACTTGATCGAGACCGCCATGTTGCCGGGCGAGAAGGAGCAACTGGCGCTCATCCACCGCAACGCTCTGCGGCTCTACAAGCTCGTCAACTCGCTGCTCGACTTCTCGCGCCTCGAGGCCGGGCATGCGCACGCCTCCTTCGAGCCGGTCGACTTGGCGGATCTCACGCAGGGCCTGGTCGCCATCTTCCGTGCAGCCGCCGAACGGTACGCGCCACATATCTCACATTCCAGCAGTCAACTGTTTTTCGTGATAAATCGTGTGTGTCTCACTGCGATCTCCTGCGCGTGTCTGGTTCTGTGTTCGCACACACAGAGCGGGGCTAGGGTGGGAGGTAGATTGCACTCAGGAGCTGGAGGAGCCGGTCTACGTGGACAAGGACATGTGGGAGAAGATCGTGCTCAACCTCCTCTCCAACGCGCTCAAGTTCACGTCACACGGGCGCATCCACATCACCATGAAGTCCGTCTACGGTACCGCTCCTGCAGGCTAACTTAATGTTGTCCGTGGTTCGTTCGTCGCATGATGCGTTGCAGCTCACACCTTGCCCCGCTATGTACAGTGCCGACTGCGGAGAAAAAGATGGCCGAGCTGGCAGTGACGGACACCGGCATCGGCATTCCCACGGAGGATCTGCCGCTCCTGGGCAATCGGTTCCATCGCGTAGAGACGCCGGGCGGTCGATCCCAGGAAGGCACCGGCATCGGCCTTGCCTTGGCGTTCGAACTGGTTCGCTTGCACGGCGGAACCATCTACGTCACCAGCCAGATCGGTCGTGGTACTCCACTCCCGCTACTGCAGCCGTTCATTGGAGGGGAATTCAAACTTGAGGTCATCGAACACTCCAAGTGTTCAAATCTCTAACTCTCTACGATGCAATGCGTTTGCTGCGCCACGACATGTTAGGGTCGACGTTCCGGGTCTACATTCCATTCGGTATAGATCACCTGCCGCCCAGCCAAATCAAGCGCATCGTGAATCCTCTTCGACCGCGAATCCCGTACACGCCTCGCGACGGGTGGTCCACCACCGCCGGTGGTGCCGGGCCAGATCTAAAGGAGACCGACGAGCCCGATGCCGCCCACAAACGCGCCGATGCGCGGAACTACTCGAAGACGGCGTCGTGGTGGCTGCCTTCGATCGCTACTACTACACTGCCCACTGCGGCCCGATCGTCGTCATCGCAGTCCTCTGAGTCCGATAACTCGTCGACGCCACCATCTTCATCTTCATCGATGTCTCCCAGTTCTTCCGACTTGCCGCCATCGCCGCGGTCACGCACAGCATCGTCCTTCAGCATGGCACAGCCTTCGCGATCGCGCAGGCGAAGAGCCCGTTGGGTACGTCCGCCAGGGCCTTTTTTCGGTGAATTCTGGCCAGCACCCTGCTCTTCTGCTCACACTGACACGCAATACCACCAAACACGCAGAGGGGGAAGGAAAACAAGGCGCGCATTCTGTTGGCGGACGACAACCTGGACATGCGCGACTACGTTGCGCGATTGCTCTGCCCCAAGTACCAGGTCATCTGCGCGTCGAACGGTGCGTCATGCCTTCGCGAGTCGCTGCTGCTGCCACCACTACCACACCATCTCCGTCTGTCGGGAGTGTGACCTTTGGTCTGTGCCTCTTCCTGCAGGTATCGAAGTGCTGAGCATGCTTGAGTCCAGCAAGGAGTTCGACATGGTGCTTACGGATGTGATGATGCCGTACCTTGACGGCTTCGGCCTTCTCAAAGAAATACGGTACAACACAGCACCAACCATGACGCGCAAGCAATGTGCTTATTGACACACGAGCGGGGCGCACACAGATCGCAGAAGGAGTATTGCACGATGCCGGTCATCATGTTCTCGGCACGCGCCGGCAAGGAAACGATCGCCGAAGGCCTTGCCGAAGGCGCGGATGACTATCTCATCAAGCCCTTCACGGCACGCGAGCTGTTGACCCGTGTGGCCTCCCTTCTCCGGCTGTCCCGCCTGCGCCTCAAGGCCGCCCGCACCGAGAAAATGCTCCGCATGGAGGTGCAGCTTCGGCACACACACACGACAACCACCACCAACTCACCCCACGCGAAACTTACTCACACGCCACTGAATAGATCAATGAGAGCAAGGAAAGGCTGGAGCACATTTTGGCGTCACTGAAGGACGCTTTCATCGCGCTCGACTCGCAGCAGCGCTACACCTACGTCAACAACAACGCGGCCGAGATGCTTGGTTCCAGGAAGCAGCGTACGTACTATATAGCCCTAGTCTGCGGCACGGTGGTCTGGTGTGGTCGAGCTACGACTAACAGTACCGACAACAAACACCCAATCAGTAATGCTCGGACACAACGTGTGGCAACACATGACCGACGTGGAGAGCGGCATCATTGCTCGCAGTCTGGAGAAGGCGATGCGAGAGGAGCTCGACGTCGTGTTTGAATACTACTCCGAGCCGCGCAAATGCTGGTGCGTCATTTGAACCAACCGCACTGGCGTACCACGACCAATTTAGTTGCTCACCGTTTTGATTTGTTATTATTTTTATTATTCAACAACGTCAGGTACGAGAGCAGAGTGTGTCCGGGGGCGGACGGCGGCGTGTCCATCTTCACCATCGACATCACGTCGAGGAAGAAGTCGGAGAATCGGCTTGCCGTTCTGGCTCAGGTGGGACGACTGCTGGCGACCAGCGTCGAAAGCCATCTTCCGTCGCTCCTCGCGTCCATGCTCGACATCGTTGGCGGTACGTTGTACAACCGAGGTCTGTGTGGGCTGTGGACAACAAACAAACGAGCAGCTTCTGACGGTTGGACAACCGCGCAGGTTCGGTGGTGGCCGACTGGTGCATCATCGACTTGGTGGCCGAGAACGGCTCCCTCCAGCGCATCGCCTCACCGAACGCGGCCACGCACCTGTGGCAAATCCAGAAGCTCACTCCAGACGAAGGTACCCTCCCATTCTAATGCCACATGCACGAGGCCACAAGTACTGACCTCCTTATTCTCTCCGCGGCGTAGGCGAAGACAGCTGCGATGTCGACGGCAGTGCGGAGTACCACGAGGTGGTTGAGCTGATCAACGGCGAACGCGTCGGGATCAAGTCCGACCTCTCGCCGGAGGACTACAACATCGTCATGCACGTGCTGCAGGGACACGGCCGCGTCTACGGCACCTGGCTCTTCGCCCGCCGCTCCTCCGAGCAGAGCAAATACCGGGTAAAACATTTCATTCGATAATTTATTAATATTAATATTCTTCTTTTAATTAAAATAAGTAGCGTTATTAAGGTGTACTTACGCTGGGCTGACGGCGTGCAGGGAGAGGACAAGGCGGTGTGCGAAGAGTTGGCGGGACGAGCGGGAATGGCGATCGACAACGATCGGCTGTACCGTATGGCCAACACCGCCAACCGCGCCAAGGACAATTTTCTCGCCGCGCTGTCGCACGAGCTGCGCACCCCGCTCACGCCCGTCCTGCTGCTGGCCGAATCCCTGCTCGGTACACCTGCCCACCTGTGCTGCACCCTGGCCTTGGTCTAGAAGAGTAGCTCGACCTACAAATTTGCTTACCTTTCTTTTTCATGCAGACGAGGGGCACTTGCCGCCAGACGTGGAGGAGAACGTGAAACAGATTCACGCCTCGATCGTGTTGGAGGTGCAGCTCATCGACGACCTCCTCGACCTCACCAAGATTTCGCGGTGCGCCCGCTTTCCGTTTCCTCAGAACTCGCGACACAATTGCGATCGATGACGCCGGCGCTAACCCATACACATTCGCGTGTGGTGTCTTGACCCCACCATAGTAACAAGCTGAGGCTCAACCTGCGCGAACTAGGGGTGCACGAGGTGCTCGAACGCACGCTGCAAATCGTAGGGCACGAGATCGGCGCCAAGGGTCTCGCCCTGCGGAAGCACTTTGACGCCACGTCCGACCGCCTCACCGGCGACCCTGCGCGGTACCTCCACCTTTTGTTGTTTGTTGTTTGTTTACTGTCGACTGTCGACTGTCGGCTGCGAACTGGACTGACTTTGACTGGCCGTGTTGGCCTCTCTCCCGTTCCTTAGACTGCTGCAGATATTTGCCAATGTTATAAAGAATGGGGTCAAGTTCACGCCCGAGGGCGGCAGCATCACCATCCGCACGTCCAACTACGAGGGCCACCGCAGGCGCGCTGCAGCGATGTTGCCCGGGGAGGAATCCTACTCCGAGAGCGACAACGGGACGGAGGACGAGGAGGACAAGAGGGTGGAGCGCCACACGACCCGACGGGAGATGGTGCGCATCGACATCACGGACACGGGCATCGGCATCGACGAGCAGATCTTGCCGCACCTCTTCCACGCCTTTGAACAGGGCGACGCCTCTATCACCGTGCGCTTCGGCGGCCTGGGCCTGGGCCTCGCCATCGCCCGGTACGCCTACAGCCACCCGCGACGGAATACCGTCAGTGTAATAGTCCTGTGTGCGCACACGACAACACACGACACGACACGACACGACACGACACGACACGACACGACACGACACGACACGACACGACACACGGTTAGTGTCACGGGCGAGAAACTGACAATCCGTGTGCGTTGAACACAGGGCTCTTACTGAGAAGCACAGGGGCAAGCTGACCGCGACAAGCGAGGGCAAGGACAAGGGCGCCACCTTCAGTGTCCACCTGCCCACGGGCACCGTACCGACTTCCTTCTCTGCTCTTCGTTTCTTCGTTTTTTTTACGCCTTGCGCTTTTTTGGCCGCCATTTCGTGCTCATCGGCGTTCAATTCACTTCACCTCAATTCACGCAACAGAAAGCCACGGCTCTCGACCTGAGCAACAGCCCCATTCTGACGCCGTCGGAACCCAAACAAGCGTGTCTATCGCTACGGGTACGAGTTTCTCGCTGCGCCGAGGCTCCCACGCGTGGGAGGCGTCTGCGTGGGAGCCCCACAAGGCTTTTCTCACGCGGCCCACACAACACGTCCCGCCAGGTATTGCTCGTGGAGGACAACCTGAGCACGCTCATGATCATGTCGCGCCTCCTGCGCCAGAAGCTCAACTTTGACGTCGCCATCGCCTCCTTCGTCGCAGATGCGCTGAGGGTACACCCGCACGCACTATGCACCCCCACCGCACGCACGGCACACGCACACACGCACGCCGACAGCGCTCAATTTTCTCACGGGCCATCATGGTGGCCAACAACACAGGTGATGGACGAGGGGAGGGGAGCGTTCGATCTGGTGATCAGCGACATCGGGCTGCCGGACGGTACGGGCCATCAGTTGATGGTGGCCCTCAAGGCCAAGTACCCCGGCCTCAAGGGCATCGCGCTGTCGGGCTACGGGATGGAGGAGGACGTGCGGCTCAGCCGTGAGGCCGGGTTCGACGTGCACCTCACCAAGCCCGTACACTTCGCCTCCCTCACCGCCGCCATCCACCAGCTCTTCATCAACCGACCACCATCGCCATAACATCAACTGTAAGTAAGTAGTACTACGTTCTTCACTAATGTCCCGTGTACACAAAGAAATTATATTTCCATATTTGCCTAAATTATTATTATCATTTTTTTTTTTGAATAAACTCACAAGGCCTTTTCCGTTGTTTCGTTTTCGTCGCGTCGCGCAAGATCGAACGAGGTACGCTGATGGTCTCCATCTTTATGGGCAGCCGCTCGATGACATTGTGGGCGACGTTCTTCTCCATTGTAGCAACGCAAATTGGGGTGATCTTGTCTCCAATCATTCTTACGCGTACCTGGCATTGTTGATTGCCGTGAACAGAGAATGTCGCGTTACGAGTCGTCGAAGAAGCTGCTGTCGCCAGTGTGGGGCCACCTCTCGGAGTCCATCGTCGAGCGTGCCTCCGGCTCCTTCATCTACACGACCTGCGGTGCGCCATCACCTAATTTTGCGGAGATTTTGATCATTTTCAATGCACTACACTGCATGAATGGATTGCGGTGCGGGCTCACCCTCGTTCATAATCGCGTGGGCTCTCCAGGCAAGAAGCTGCTGGACTTCTCGACCGGCATCGGAGTGGTGAACACCGGCCACTGCCACCCGCGCGTCGTCGCCGCTGCCCAGGAGCAAGTGGGCAAGCTCATCCACGGCCAGGTAAAGCAAAGTTGTTTGAGGTCTTCTTGTGTGCGATGCGTGCGACTCACACGTGCGCGCGTGCATGTGTGTGTGTGTGTGCAGCTCAACATTGTGTACCACAAGCCCGTGCTCGAGCTGGTGGAGGAGCTCAAGCCCGTCGTGCCCGAGGGACTCGACACCTTCTTCTTCTCCAACAGCGGTGCCGAGGCCGTCGAGGCCTCCATCAAGCTGGCCCGTCATGCCACCAAGAAGCAGAACATCATCAGTGCGTGCCGTCGCCTCTTCTTCTTCTTCTTCACCTCAACGACCTCACCATGCACTTCTTGTGTCGTGACCACCCAGCCTTTGTCAACAGCTTCCACGGCCGCACGGTGGGCACCATGTCCCTCGGCAACTCCAAGATCGTCTACAAGAACCAGTATGGGTACGGCTATTGGATTATTATTAATTTATTGGATTTTCTTTTATTTGTTGATTTATATTATATATTTTGTATCTATTTTGTGTGATGTGGATGTGGGTGCTGACTGCCACATAGTCCGTTGATGCCCGGCGTGCATGTGGCTCCCTATGCCTACTGCCACCGATGCCCGTGCAAGCAGCAGCGCAAGAGCGCCGAGGACTGCTGCAACCAGCCCCTCCTCGCCGTCGAGATGCTCCTGCGCCAGCAGACCGGTCCCGCCGACACCGCGGCCATCCTCCTGGTATCCACAATCATTATTTATTGATTTATTTTTATATTATTTTTTACACTATTTGTCTTATTTCTAATCATTTTTTGGTTTTTATTTTCTAGGAACCCGTGCAAGGTGAGGGAGGCTACGTGCAGCCGCCCAAGTCGTTCATGCAGGGCCTCAGGAAGATCTGCGACAAGCACGGCATCCTCCTCATCTACGACGAAGTCCAGACCGGATTCGGCAGGTGCGTGGCCACAGCTGTGCCCACACGCTCCTCCCTCTTTTTTTCGTTCTATTTATTTATTTTTATTATTTGCTGATCGCGATGGTCTTTCCACTCACAGGACCGGCAAGTACTTCGCCGCGGAGCTCTCCGGCGTCAAGCCCGACATCCTCGTCTTCGCCAAGGCCATCGCCTCTGGGTACCTATTGTATTTATTTATTTATTTATTTTACGCATAATCATTTCTTATTTCATAATCACTCATTATTTAATTTTAAGAGGATTAACGGATTGATCGATCGGTCGGTCATGATTGCAGTTTCCCTCTGTCCGGTCTGGTCGCCAGCAAGGAGACCCACAAGCACTGGCAACAGGGTACCGCTCTCATTGGCGCTTTGTACAAAACCATTGTGTCGACAATCTTCACACACGGTGCTTCTTTTTCTTTTCTTTTCTTTTCTTTCTTTTTCAGGCTCGCACGGCGGTACGTACGGAGCCAACGCGGTGGCCTGCGCCGCCGCCGTCGCCACCCAGAGAGTCATCAAGGAGGAGAAGCTCGTCGAGAACGCCGCCGTACGCCCACCAATGCCCTCCGATCACGCGGTTGTATTTCCTACGGCTCACCCACGCTCTACGTGTGCGTGCGTGCGTGTGTGTGGGTGTGTGCGTGCGTGTCGTGTGTTAATGCAGGCCCGCGGGGAGCAGCTGACGAAGCTGCTGCTGCAGCTGAAGGACAAGTACCCGCAGATCTCGGACGTGCGAGGCCCCGGCCTCATGATCGGCGTCGAGTTCTACGACGAGAGGGACAACGCCTACCCCTTCCCCGGCCACGACTCCAAGCACACCGTCAAGTACGGCTTCACCGGTGCGCTCACCAAGAAGTGCCTCGACCACGGCATGCTCATCCTTAACACCGGGTACCTTGCGCCTCTCTCTCCCCTATTTTGCGTGTGTGCGGTCGTGTGTGTGTTCGTGTGCGGTGGGGTGTGCGGTGGGTGGCTGACGCGGATATGGTGTGGCGTGATGCACAGAGCCCACGAGACCCTCAGGTTCATTCCGCCGCTCACCGTCAGCGCGGAGGAGATCGAGCTGGGCGTCGAGCTCTTCGAGAAGGGGCTCAAGGACACCCTCAAGGAGCTCGCCAACTGATCCGCCACTCCCCTCCCCTCACCTCCTCTGGTTTTTTTTTCGTATGGGCCGAACTCAAAAACACAAAACCCAAACAAAAGGTTTTATCTCAACTTCAACCGTTGGGCTGCAGCGAAAGAATGGAGGCCATGGCTTGCTACGTGCCCCTGATGGGCGACGCGGTTGAGGTGAAGAAGCAGGCAGTGGGTGAGGCGGAAGAGTGGACGTACGCGGTGGTGGAGGAGTTCAAGAGCGGCCTGGGCTGGTGTGTCTACGACCCGCAGACCAAGCGCAAGAGGCTCGTCGACGCCAGCGCCATGCGGCCGGCCACCCGAACCATCGGCGACGACCAACCCACGCGTCGCAAGAGCGTCGTGTCTGGACCCCTCACCTGGTGGCAAGAAGTTCGTCACCACCTTCATCATCACCCTCGTCCCCCCCTCGCCCCACAGAAGGAAGTGGCTGACATGTGATGACACCCAGGCCTCGTTGGTGGTCGAGACAGCCAAGTCGGCCCGGTCGCGGTGCGGCGGCTGCGGGGCGAAGATCGCCGAGGCCAGGCTGCGAGTGGGCATGAAGGCGCGCACCAGCCGCGGGCGCTACTTCGAGCGGCGGGAGTGGTTCCACATGGCCTGCTTCGAGCTCGAGCGGCGCTGCGCGAACGCATCGCGGGTCGAGGCCTTCGCCGGCCATCTCGACCTCAACGACAGCGACAAGGACAAGCTGGCCCGCTTCGTGGCCAACAACAAGTCAAACAACAAGAAGAAGACGACGACAAACACGACTATAGCTTTGGTCAAGAAGAAGAACGGCGGTGAAGGCGACGACGGGGCGAGGAACGAGCTGCAGGAACAGTTCGCCAGGGCGTGTCGAGTAGTCGTGGCTCAATTCGTTAACGAATTCAAGCAGCGGGCGTTCGCCGCGGGCCAGCAGGCAGAGGTAACCGAAGTAGAGGAGCAATCGACGATCGAGCGGGTCACCGAAACGAAGGTGGTGGTGTGCCCCGTGACGCTGCGGGAGATGACGTGGGCCGACTGCCACGTCCACCACGCCGAGCCGGCGTTCGACCAGATCGTGCGCTCCTTTGCTCGGGAGAGACAGCTCCCTCTGGTGGCGATTCGCTATCATCTGGGCTCGTTCGTCGACCAGCGCCTGGCCCACGACTTCCACGAGTACCACGCGGCCCACTGTCGACTGCAGGCCGTCCACAAGGATGCCAACCTGGGCCTGCTGAAGCGAAAGCGACCGCCGGAGCCAAACCTGAAAAAGAACGAAAGCGACAAAAAGCACGAAGGGGAGGGGGAGGGCGATCACCATACGAAGAACGAAAGCGAAGAGGCGCGAAGAAAGAGAAGAAAGAAAGAGAAGGACGCGATGTACGAGGAGATCATGGCGGAGGTGGGCGACGACGAGGGCTGGGCAGAAGTCGACAAGCAGGCGCTCTGGACCGCGAAGCTGGGCGACATGTGGGCCGAGCGCAAGAGAAAGAGGAACCTCAAGTGCGGAAGAGCAAAGGGTGTGGTGGGCGGAGTCCTAATGCGGATCCTCAAGAAGAGGAGGAAGACGAAGGCGGAGGAGTCGGCAGCCAGCCAGGTCTGCGCGGATTGCGGCAACGAGCGGGCGAGGTTGGTGCACCTACCCGCCGCCAACCAGCGCGTGTGTTACGAGTGCCGGACCAAGACGTACGCGTCAAAGCAGTGGGCGAAGAAGATCTACAGCCTTAGCGAACGCGACCTGCTCGGGCTCATGCCCGAGGCCGTAACCAATCCGGTACTCCCCAGACGTTAGAGAGCCGAACGTGAAAGTTGAGACTGAGAGCCGTGGTGTGGTGCTGCCACAGATTTCTCCTAACTTTGTGGAAATGAAACTCTACGCTCACAGCGATCTGCTCACCGTGGCCCGCGCCAAGCACGGCCCGGGCTTTGAGCCAAGTGTGCCTGCGCCGATGTGATTGATTCCGTCTTCGCATATCTTTTGAGGTTTACAGATCTGTTGGCGCTTGAGGCCGGCGTGAATCGCTTGTAATCCCCTACCTTGACATGTTCCTGCAACTGCAGCCAGCTCTCTGGTAGTAGTACGACCTTCCACATATCGGCGCGAGCTTCGCCGCGGGCTGGAGCCAAGCCTAGGCACTCGCAAGGCAAAGGCATACTCTTTGAGGGGCACTTGCCATTAGGGTGGGGTTTGTGTGGCGATCATTTAAGAATGGAGATATCTACAAGCAGGATAGAAGTAACTAGTTACACTAATCACAGGGGCAGCTCTGGAGGCCAGGATGACAGTGGCGCTGGCGATGGTGTCCTGCGCACGACAAGGTGGCACGCGGCCAGGGTGGCGAACCCGAAGAAGACTATGGCCATCATGCCCACCACAAGCAACAGCGATGAGGCCGCCTCGGTCAGTCGGCAGGCCGAGGCGCGGCAGCCCTGTGGGTCACACCTGCATTCGTACTGTGTAATCGACGCAGAGAATGTGCATGTCAGCATCCACTGGCGTCAATTTAGAGTGGTTGGGGATTGGGGGCGCGTACAGTGCACAGGAGGTTGTCGGACCGGCCGACAGCGTCCTCGCAATAGTCTTTTGAGTTTGAGTTGTACAAGCGTAACTTGTTTAGCGCGGACGTGGGAGTAGGTGGCACTGTGAAACTAAAGCCATAGGGTTCTGTCACAACCACAGTGAGCGTGTTGGAGTGCCAAAGCCCCTCCCCTCCGCAAGAGTGATGTACCAATAGTGATGTGTCGGTAGTGTTGTGTGGTGGCGGGTGCATTGGCGTCGAGTACTGTGTTGAGCGGACAGAACAGAAGAGTCACCCCCATCAGCAATGTGAAGACCATCCCCTCCATTTTGTCTTTTGTAGCTTCGCTTTGGGTTGCGCTTGGTTGCACTGTTGAGAGATGGCGCCGTTTATCAACTGCGTGGACCCCTCTCCGCGCGTTCACTCGACAAGTCGCGGAGAATGGAGGTTGATGAAGGGCGAGCCTCACATGTTGCGGAGATAAAACTTTGTCTCTATTGGTGCCTGCACGCCGGTTGGCCGTATTATTCGCCACAACGGCAAATGTGGAGAAACTCCACGTGAAAGTGTCAGCAGTGCGTTCGCCCCTTCGCTACATGCGCACTTTGTGCTCCCCCCCCCTCTTCCCTGTGGGTGAGCCGCAGAACAGAAATGTTGCGTTTGGCGCCAACGAGATTTATGTTTCATCTCGGCCAGTTTGCCTGGGCACGCCACTCTACACCATGACGCGCCGCGAGTCCTGCAGTGCGAGACCGAACAGTACACGCCAGGACTGCACTCGCGAAGTAAAGGTAAACACTTTTGGCGATTCAGATTGAATTGGAATTACAAATTCATTCCGACTCTCGGCACAGCCATGACAACAGTATCGTATGAGCTGAGCAAGGAGGCAAGGAGCAGGTTCTTCCCAAACTTCATGGCCGACTGGCCCGTGATGGCCCCACCCGGACCCGCCTTCCCCACGCCCGCAGAGCTACACCACCTGCGCAAGAAGGTACAGCTGACCGCCCACCTGGTGAGTGGTCAGTCTACAGGCTGCCTCGTTGGTCGCTCACTTTTGGGACCCGTGCAGACAGACAAGCTGATAGAGATCATTCAAGACGACTGGCCGGCCAACCTTGAGACTCAGAAGTACACACCGTGTGAATCACTGATAGCGCATGCCGCATGGTCACCCAACCGTGCGCGTGTGATGCGTCGTGTCGTTGGTCGTGTCGTGCCGTGTCGTGCCGTGCCGTGCCGTGCCGTGGCTGCCCTGCGCTGCACCCAGTGACGCGACGGTGTACCAAGGCGCTGCGGGAGCGGCGCTGATGTTCCTGCGGCTCTGGGAGGCGGACTACGAACTGCCAGACCAGACCAACGCACTCGAGCGCGCCGAGGAGTACATCCGCATCGCCCACCGCCTCATCGAGGAGAAGGAGAAGCTCGACCCGTGCGCGCCTTCCTTTCTCTTCTGGGTGCTGCGCATGAAGCGTTCATGACATGAAGCCGCGTGCGCACAACACATTACTACGCAGAGTCAGCGCAAAGACGAGCGTTTCATTCACGCTCGGCGACGCCGGCACCTTCGCGCTGGCGGCGGTCATCTACCACCACCTCGGCCGGCGGGAGAAAGCAGCGGTACTTCCCCCGCCCATCGATCGCCTTTCTGGCAGGACTGCACCAGTTTGTTGCCTCAGCGGCAGACTGACTTTGGCTTTGGCCTCGATCGCCACCCACAGGAGTACGTGGATAGGCTGACCGGCCTGCAGAACCCGGTCGTGCCCCTTCCCGGTGCTTCGCGCCCCGGCGAGACTTGGGAGCCCTTCTATGGCATGGCCGGTACCACCTCGCCCTTGACATGTCGGCCTGGTGCGTGGGTTTCCTGACGCGTGGTTCACCTCCCCACAGGGTACTTGTACTGCATCTATTTCGTGGAGCAGCACCTGGAGAGGGAGATCGCGCCCAAGCTCACGGACCGCTTGATCCAGGCCTGCCTCGAGAGCGGACTCGCGTAAGCCTACGCCTCTTTTGCTCTCTCTTTACGAGTTATGTTTCTTTTCAATCGAGCCAGCTCAACTTGTTAATGCGTGTGCGCCCGGTCAGTCGCGCGCAGATCGAAGCAGAGGCAGCCGGCTCTCGGCCGCCGCTCATGTACACCTGGCACGGGGAAAAGTATCTGGGGATTGCGCACGGCATCGCTGGCGTGGTGAACGTACTCCTGCTGCGGCCGCAAGAACTGGACACAGCCGCGGTAACGCACGCACACACACACACACACACACACACACACACACACACAACACACACCGCGCTGATGCCGCCCTTTCCCTTAGGCCGAGGGCCACGTGAGCCCTGGCTACAGGAAGGTGCTGGAGGACACCGTGGACTGGCTGATCTCCCTCAGGATCCGTGATTCGGGCAACTACCCCGCGCAGCTCGACGACCCCGACGACACCCTCGTGCACTGGTGCCACGGTGAGTTCTCGCCTTTTTCGCTCCAGGTCGCATGGCGGACTGGCTCATCATGACACGACACGACACGACACGACCACACAGGCGCGCCCGGTATGGGAATGCTCTTTTGTCGCGCGTATGAGGTGTTCAAGCACAGACGCTATCTGGATGCGGCCCTTGCTGCGGGCGACGTGGTCTGGCAGAGGGGGCTCCTCAAGAAGGGCCTCGGCTTGTGCCACGGCATTGCCGGTACGCACCACACCACACCTTCTTCTGAGGGCCTTGTAACCAATTGCGCTGCTGACGCGTTTACACACACACACACACACACACACACAGGCAATGGGTACCTGTTCCTGGAGCTCTTCAAGGTGACGCACGAT